TTCCCAGGAAAAATGAGTAAGTGGTAGAACGGTCACACTCTTAAGGCTGCTTCTAAGTTTGAAATTTCTCTGTGATGTTATTTCAACCCCGTATATGCTTTTCTTCTTTTGAAAGCTGTAAAATTCCTCAGAAACACTTGGAGTCATTTTCTGGCACAGAGAGGAAGAAGGCGGGGAGAAACAATGACACTGCTTTCAGGGCTGAAGAGAGAAGAAAGCTCAACTGGGGAATGCAGGGCGATGCTAGAAGAAAGCCAGGGTCCCACCTGGATCCTCTGGGAGAAAAGGATGAAAAAGGGAACCAGCCTGGCAAGGAGACCTGTCCCCACCCATCTGCATTTGCAGGAGAACCTGGCCACCAAAGGCACTGCACATTTCCAGGCGGGAACAACGGGTAGCACTTTACAGTGGAGAAGAAAAAAATCATTAGGTTTTTCCATCAGATACTGACACGTTCTTTAAGATCATGAAGTTTACTTTCCCCCAAAGAGTCTTTTTAAAATCCCACACTGATTTGGCAACTTTCTCATTATCATGCCCTGCAGCTCAGCAGCACGTAAGCCCTGGGTGGTTTCCTGAGGGGAAATCCTGATCTCCTGGATTATATAAAATAAAAACATAAAAGAAGAAGAGAAAAAGGAGTGGAGGAAGAAGAGGAAGGAGAAGGTGAAGGAGAAGGAGAAGTACAACCTTCTAGCCACGTTTGTTGGGAGGATCCAGTGACTGGGCCTCTGAAGCTCTTAGCGGATCCCCCGGCCTGGAGCAGGTGTTTGCTCAATGCCGTTGTTGATTCTACTGACTCAGTTGTGCGAGTATCTCGGGATTAGGCCCTGAGTACCCAGGGCCACACTGGCTTTTTCGGTGAGAGGGTCATCCAGACTCGGTGGAGTGTGGTGGAGACTGCTAGATGTTTTTTGCATCAGACATCTCTTAGGTGATGCTTGAGATCTTTCGGCCTCCTCTGTCTCAGACTTTGGCCTCTTGTCTGGGCCCGGCTGCTGCTGGAGTACCAGCTCTGCACGTCTTCTGACTTCACGCAGATGCCATGTGATGGTCACGCCCCTCAGGACCTGTGCCATTTGCGGGCTGACTCCCCTTGCTGAGGTTTCCCTGTCCTTAAAAGAATGGACATGCCCTTCTCTTTCTCAGAGCATGAGCAGGGGGAGGGCCAGAGGGAGAAGCAGACTCCCTGCTGAGTGTGGAGCCCAACGCAGGGCTCGATCCCAGCACCCTGAGATCATGACCTGAGCAGAAGACAGACATCTAACCAATGAGCCACCCAGGCACCCCTAAGAGTGGATATGCTTTTCTCTTTTATTTCCCTCCTGGCTTTGATGTGAGCATGATGGCTGGAGCTAGGGCAGCCCTTCTGGCCACGAAGTAGAAGCCGTATGTTGAGGACGGCAGAGCACAAAGACAACAGGAGCTGGGGCCGCTGTGAAATGGGCAGGCAGCACACCAGGTCTAGACTGCCTATCTGGATATGATTTTGAGAAAGAAAATTTTCTATCTTTTTAGAAGACTATTATGTGGGGTTTTCTGTCACTCTCTGCTAAGCTGAATCCTAACTATTCAACTAGAAAATTGGCCTTCCATTTGAATGAAATGAAGGGAAAGGGAGAAAAAACATCATCAGGTGTTAGTTCAGAAGCATCGAACAGTGGCACTGGATCCAGACGTCAGTGTTTTTACCGACATCACATTCTATCATCTCTTCTAAATTGAGGGTATGCGAGCCCCATGCCCAGTGACTTGGTCATCTTTGAGATAAAAGAATACTGACATTCCAGACTAGCATAAAGCAAACAAAACACTCTCCATCCAGAAAGCTGACCTGTCAGTGCTTCTCATCTATGTTAATGTTTGGTATTAGTCGCAGTAGTATTTACTGTGGGTCAGGCTCTGTGCTGAGCTCTCCAAATAGAAAACCCAGGCAACCACACTCTGTGAAGGATATGTCTGAGAGGGTCAGAGCACTGGCCTGGGATTCCAGGTGAGAAGTTTACCAGCATCCTGGTTAAGACAGTAGCCAAGTTAAGGAGGAGGGAGTGGGCTGTAAGACTCCTTAAGAGAGGATATTCACAGGACTTGATGACTGACGGAAGCAGGGGCTGAAGGGGTTCAGAATTATTCTCAGGTTTCTAGGATGGAGGTCTGGCTAGGAGATGGCTTCACAAATTGAGAAGGAACACACACGAAGGAAGAGAAAGAGAAGGAAGGGGGAGGATGAGGCTTAGCAGAGAATGTAGAGAAGATGATGGGTTCCGTCCTGGGCATGTTAAATGTGAGTTATCCCTGGGCACCAAGAAGAGATGGAAACAAGAAATGAACAGACGAGCCTGGACCTCGGGGAGAAGGCTTGGTTAGAACACTTGTCGAATGATTCTGTAATGTTTTGTTTGTGACGTTGTGCTTCCCAGTAGACTGAGTTTTGTGGGGGAGGAATAGTCTTGCTAATCTTGTATTCCCAGAACTTAGAACTGAGCCTACAACATAGTCAATGCTCTATGAATGTTGGGTCAGTGATTGGCAGTTAAATAAATGAATGAATGAATTTCAATCCATCAAAAAGTTACACATTTTTGTCATCTCAAGTTGCGACTCCATATATGTTCGAATGGAAACATGTTTATAGAGCTCGGTTGGCTGCAGAGTACCATGGATGGGGTCCATTATGTTTTCATGAGCTCCTGCAGGCTGGCCTCAGCACAGAGGCCCCTTCAGTCATGGCCACAAGAAAAAGAGAAAAACACCTTTCAAATTCCAAAGAAGTTGATAGCATACCTTTGGACCAAAAGATCCTTCACTAGTTGGGAAAATTGTTCTTTTGGTTTTTTTCCCCTCAAGAATTGTCCATAGCATCCAGCAATGCGCCTGGAAGCACCAACTCACGGAGAACTGAGAGGAGGTCAGAGCAGTGGACGATCACCACCGCATGCGTCAGGGCCACCTGGTCACCCTCTTTTCAAATCAGATCGTTGTGCCCAAAGGAGGAGTTTTGAGGACAGGAACAGAGGCACAGCCCAGTGATTTGGAAAATATTCCCAAGATTAATAAGTAGACTAAATCCAGGACCCAAGCAAATTTGCAAAGGGCCTACAAGTTTGTCCTCTTTCCCCCTTTCTTCATCCGTAGTTATCAGTAACAGCAAAGGATTTCACAGAAACAGCCAATTCTGATTCAGACCATCTCTCCAACTTTTCTGAATCATTACATAGATGTATTATCTTCTTGATTAGAAAAGCATTCGTATATTCCATTACTAACATTTTTTTTCTTTTCTTTTCCTGAAGTATATAGAAGCTTCCCTAGCACAAGCCCACTGAAGTCTTGCTCCTGGCTCTGGGTGAGGCTTCTAGAATGCTCTGTCCATGAGTGAAACTGGCAGGCCACAGGCTGCCTGGCAGGGATGAGGACGGACCGCAGTGACTAAGTCATTAACTCTCATGTTGTGTAAAAGCAATTTATAATAAAAGTTGCTTTTGAACTGTTTTGAGTAATGGCAGGTTGTATGCTTTGAGGCTCTCCAGAGGAAAACAGAACCAATAAAGAAATATATGAGAAGATGTATTATAGGAATTGGCTCAGGCAGTTATGGAGGCCAAGAAGTCCCATGATCTGGGGTCTGCCAGCTGGAGAGCGAGGAGAGCCAGTGGTATCATTTAGTCTCCGTCTGAAGGCCCAAGACTCAGGGTGCAGTGGTCTGTCTCCCAGTGCAAGCCTGAACAAAGGGGCTGCTGGCATAAGTCCTGGAGTCTGACGGCCTGGGAACTGGGAGCTCACAAGTGCAAGAACAGACGATGGATGTTCCAACTCAAAAAGAAAGAGAATTAGCTCTTCCTTCACCTTTTTGTTCCATTTGGACCCCCAAGAGATTGTGTGAGACCCGCCTACACTGGTGAAGGCAGATCTCTTCCCTCAGTACCCAGAGCCAAATGTTAACCTCTTCCAGAAACACCTTCACAGACATGCCCCCCGAAATATTTTTAACCAGTTATCTGGGTACCCCTTAAACCAGTCAAATTGACAGACAAAATTAACGATCACAGATGTATTTCAGGAAATAAGTGGCCAAGTCCCAAAGTAAACAAGCCCGTGCGAGGACTTCGTTATTTTACTACAATAACCATACCTAGATATTATAAACCATTAGTGTTGCCAAAAGCAATATTCAAAAAGTATGAGTGATTTTCTCTGCACTTAATAAATGCATTGTGTTGGGACTCAGACTTGAGTACACCAAATTGAGAGCAGCAGGTTGTAATTAACATGAGATTTGGAGTCAGGAAATCGAGATTTTAGTCTCACACTAACTTCTTGGGTCATTTCATTCATTCAGCAAATATTTATTGAATATCATATAACGCATCGTGGTAAGTGCTAAGACACAAGAGTGAAAAGAAATTGACATTGTATCCACATTTATAGACTGGTGGTCTAATAGAGAGGACAGACATCAACTTTTTAAAAATCTGTGAATTAGCAATACAACTGTTATGAAGTCCTACAAAGACAAGTCACATGGAGGTTGTGCCAGGGTGGCAGGGTGGCCCGTGCAGGCGTGACTGTGATTGAGAGCTGAAGGATTATCAGGTGTCAACTAGATCAGTGGGGCAGAGGGAGCTGTATATGCAAACTCCTAGTGGCCCTGGGAGAGGACCAGCATATTCTAGGAATTATGCATGGTCAGAATGGCTTGAGCTTGGAGAATAAACGCAAACCAATGACCAATACTAGGAGGTCAACCAATGGGTCTGGGGAAGAGGAAATGGGAAGCCGATGTGAGATAGTCATAACTACATTTCAGCGCATTAACGCTGGGTTCAATATTGGGAAATAATTGTAGGGGGCATGTGAGCTGACATGAGAAGACCAGTTAGAAGCCTATTGCTGGTCCAGGAGAGAACCGTCGTGTGATCTGGTTGGAGGTGGTAGAGATAGGAAAGATGAGACTGAGGCAAGAGGAGGTAAGAGCCATAGGGTTAAGGAATAGGTTGGGTATGAAGGAGGTGAAGGAGAGGGAAGTGTTAAGGAGGGCTCCTGTATTTCTTGTCGAGACAGGGGATAATGGAAGCTCCCAGACTGTGAGCTCACAAACTCTGCAGATCCTCATTTCTGCTTCTGCGAAGTGAGAGGCAGAGTCTTCTTTGAAGTCCTGTCCAGATTTAAAACTATTTGACTGTATTCCAGAATTCAATCGTTTTTTTAAACTAAAGATGCCCCAACTCGAGTGGAAATCCTCATAGGTCAATGCTTTAGTTATCTTTCGTTACATAAAAATAGTGCCCAACTCTTAGTGACTTAAGTCAACGTTACCTCATGATTTCTGTGGGTCAAGGAGTCCGGAGCCGCTGAGCTGGGTGGTTCTGGCGTGGGGGTCTTTCAAGGGGTGGCATTCAGGTTCTTGGCGGGGGCTGCAGTCACCTGACCGCTTGCCGGGGCTGGAAGATTCATCGGGTTCCACAGTGGCTTACTCACGTGGCTGTTCGAGGAAGGCCTCCGGTCCACACTGGCTCCCGGCAGGAGGCCTCCACTTCCTACCGTGGAGCATCTCCAGAAACTGCTTGGGCGTCCTGGTGATGGGGCCTCTGGTTTGCCCCAAAGCAGGTGATCCCAGAGAGAGCCAATGAAGAGGAAGCTGCAGTGCCTTTTAGGATCTTCTCTCAGGAGTCACATACCATCAGTCTACTTTTCTGTTTGTTAGAAGCAAGTCACTATATCCAGCCCACACTCGTGGAGGAGGGGAACCAGGTCCCACCTCTGCAGGGACGGGTATCAGAGAGCACGCGGATGTATGTGAGAACCACCACAGAAGAGCTTTAAGTCTTCTACGCGAGCCCCTTCATGAGGGCCGGACACCTTTCCTCCAATAATAATAACTGTGGTATACATTTAACTAAATTAAAATACAACTAAAGGGTTACAAACTAGAAAACAGCTGTCTAGAATACTCAGTGCTAAAATTCTAAAGGGTGAATATTTATTCATTTATTTACTTATATGTTGGGGCACCTGGGCGGTCAGTGGGTTGAGCCTCTGCCTTCGGCTCGGGTCTTGATCTCAGGGTCCTGGGATCAAGCCCTGCATAGGGCTCCTCTGCTCAGCGGGGAGCCTGCTTCCTCCTCTCTGCCTGCCTCTCTGCCTGCTTGTGATCCCAGTCAAATAAATAAAATCTTAAAAAAAAAAATACTTATATCTCTGTCATGAGAGAAGGACAAAGCTTACTGAGTCATAAACAAATGGATATTTGGGTCAAATATTATGAAACACTATGAAGTGATTCTCTGTGCACAATTACTTTCTGCATAGGTCATAAGATACATAATAAATTCTAGAAATTACATGTTATATATGAGAACCAAATATTTTACAGGTGAGTCAGAATCTGAATCAGAGTTGAAGAATTTTAGAGCTTGAAGAAAGTATACAGATGGTCAGTCTAATCCAGCTCCCCATTTAATAGTAGAGAAAACTGGGAGTTGAGAGAAATTTTTTTTTAAATTATTTTTTTTCCTAGAGCGCTCACACAGTTAGTGGGAGGAAGCCACTTTTGATGGGGTGGCCATTTCCCAATAATACTGGAGAGGGGAGTCAATGCTTTTTGAGATCTTCTTCTGGTCCTGAAAATCCCTGAGGCCTTCCGATAAGCTCTGGGTAAGGCACAACAGGGGTCACATTCTCCTTTGTTTAACACTCTCTGCAAGTAAGTTACAGACTAGCTCATCGCATCTTCCAAGGTCATTTAGCAACTTGTTTGTAGGAATTGGGACTAAAGCCAAGGTTATGAACTCCCTCATTTAGACTCTCCACTCTTGTTGCTTACCTCTGAAATTCTATTGCCTTTTATCACAAACTAACTGGCTTTTCTATTATACAAGCAGAAAGGATTAAGTAACAACTTTTACCTTGTCATCGTTGAAGATTAATATGCTTATATCTGCAAACACATTATGAATTATGTACTTATGTAATTTGATCTTTGATAGAGAATAAAGGCAGGAGCAGACCTGCGGTTTCCCGAGTCTTCCTTTCGGTACGTTACGCATCAAACCTCTGTTGACTGTACTGAAATTTTATAGCTTATATCAGCAATTAAATTTGTATGGCCTACTAGGCATACAAAGCAGATGATAAGATAGTTTTATTTACTTTGTCTCTTTTTACTGAGGGCCATTATATTGGAGAGCACACTGTGAATATGTACTTAAATATGCAAGATAGTGGGAATCAGGTATGAAATACCACAGTTCATAATAGAAAAGTCTATTTTGTGATTTTACATCTTTATAGCTTTTAAAAAATAGTGAATAAATTTTTAATGGAAAAACACATTAGTATATAATGATGCTTAGATTAATTTAATATCTAATATTTAATATTCAAATCCTTGATTTGAACAAAACTGTATTTTCTGAAGATGCAGCTAGAAATAAAAGGCCTGTTTTAAAGATGTTACTGATGTTCATTTATTCAGTGAGAATTTATTGGATGTCTCATTCGCTATAGCTCTGATTTCCAGTTACTGAATATGTGCTTGCTCCTAGATTACCCATAGAGACTTCAAATCAGCATCTCTGTAACTTGCCTAATTATCTTGACTGCTCCCTTCTACTTTTTTATACTTCCTAATTATCTTAATGGTACCCGTTGGAAACCCTCACATCATTTTCATATTCTTTTCTCTTACTCCTTGAAGCCTATCTCCAAAAAAAATTTTTTTTAAAGATTTTATTTATTTGACAGAGATCACAAGTAGGCAGAGGCAGGCAGAGAGAACTGGGAAATGGGCTCCCTGCTGAGCAGAGAGCCTGACTCGGGGCTTGATTCCAGGACCCTAAGATCATGACCTGAGCCAAAGGCAGAGGCTTAACCCACTGAGCCACCCAGGTGCCCCTCCAAAATTTTTTTAAAAAGATTCTATTTCCAATTTTTCATCTTTGAAACCTCCCACAGTCAGTCCTTCATCCTCTCTGGCCTAGACTTTTACAGCAAAACTAAGGTGTCCCGGGCGATCTCACCGATCTCTGAGCCACGGAACCACTCTTCCAAGTCATCCATGTGGCTGCCTGTTACTTTACTAACACAAAGGGGAACCCATTATTCCCCTTCTGACTGCCTTATATGGATTCCTACTTCCTTAAGGATGAAGGGCAAATTCTGATCTTCCCAAGCAAATCTCAACTTACCTTTCTGGTCATAAACATCCTTATCTCAATATCAACCCTATCTTGCTATGCAGTCTTCGAAGTTGATTGCTTTTCCCCGTCTTCCCCCTTAGGAATCCCTCTACTCACCAGTTCAACCCCCCCACCCTTCCTCTGAGGGACTTTCTCTTCTCCAGGCAAAGTGAACCACCCTTCTTTTCTGTCTCACTTGCTGCGATGTGTCCATCTTTATTACAGCTCATACGGCACAATTGTTTGTTTGCCTTTCTCATTACAGAGTCCAGAGGGCGGGAGACTAGTCTTACTCAAACTACCCAAGGGCATGGAACTCAATGTTTATTCAAGATGGGAAAACCTTCCATTTACAAACCACACTTGCAAAAAGGAGTTTTCTTCAAGAAGGAATTTTATATGTGCTAGTGAGACAAATGCTTTGTAACTATCATTGGAATTCTAGAATCCAGAATTAGTATGTTATGGTGGAGTGCAATCAGATTGTAGCATAGAAGAGTTAGTAATAGATTGTAAGAGATTGCTTTTGGTCTTTTTTTTTTTTTAAGATTTATTTATTTATTTGAGAGAGAGGGGCTCTCAGGACTCTGAGATCATGACCTGAGCTGAAACCAAGAATTGAACGTACCACCCAGGCGCCCCTGGTCTGTCTTTTTCATGCATATTAGGTAGGGGTTATATGAATTTTTTTGTAACTACTCATAATATCATCAGATTGTTTTTCTGAAAGAATGTAGTTTCAGCAAATATGTGAACCTTCCCCTTTGAAATCTGAAATGTTGGGGTAAAACTGAGAAATTTTTCAATTAAGTCACTCATATTTCATTAAAGATGCATATATTTGATGTAAGGAAAAAAACCAAAACAATGATGTGTGTAGATGGCAGTTACACTGACCCCTGACTATAAAGTTTGGCCGGTTAAGTTCATTAGCTCCTTTTGTGTCATTGATGACCCACACTGTAGTAAAACTAAACTTAAATAATTTTTTTATACTGTAAAAGTAAGGAAAAAAAAAAAAAACCCTGAAGAATAGAATAAAGAAAAAAAAATACCTATAGAAGACCGTGCAGCCAACCCTGGGTTTCAATCTTTTTCGTTTTCCTAACACTTCATACTTCTTTTTGTTTTGAGAGAGAGAGAGTGTGTGTGTACTTTTTTTTTTTTTGAGAGAGAGTGTGTGGGCATGGGGCATGGAGAGAGAGGCAGGAGCGAAGGCAGAGACAGAGTCTCAAGCAGACTCCCCACTGAGCGCAGAGCCTAAAAACCCGGAGATCATGACCTGAGACTAAAACAAGAGTTGGACACTCAACCAAGTGAGCCACCCAGGCTCCTCTTTGTTGTTAGTTTTTTTTAAACATACATGTGATCATAATGCATGGATAGTTTTGTAACTTGTTTCCTCCCTCTAATACTACAAAAAATATGCATGTGTTACACATCGCATAAACATTTAAACTCCTTACCCAAAATATGACAGAGCATATATGGCTACCTTTTACCTGTTCGTTTCCAAAACAAACAAACAGACACTTCGTTTCTGTGTTTAATTTTTGCATCTTATAAATACTATTGTGATCTACAGTTTATGAATAAAGCTTTTGCTCTATTTCGGATGATTTCATTCAGGAAGAATTCCAGATATGGGATTATGGGTTACAAGAGGATGCACATTTTTATAGGTTGAATCACTGTGCCAAATTGCTTTCTAAATAGGTTGTTTCAGTTTACACTCCCACTCACAATGTCTGAGAGTACCCTTTTTATCTCACCACCCTTGAATGTTATCTTTTACTTAAAGATTTACTAATATGATAGCCAACTGAAAGGTCACATTTTCTGGTCTGTTTGCACAGAGTTTAGGATAAAATCAAGGCTCTGGAGTCAAATATAACTAGGTTTGGTCATTGCTCTGCCACTTCCTGGCTGTATTACAGATTACTTAACTCCTTTGAGGCTCTTTATTAGATGATTTTTTTTTAAAAAAGGGTCAATGTTAATATTGACCCCAAACACAGGGTTGTTGTAATTATCAAAAGAGAGGCTCATGTGAAAAGCCTGTTGCTCTAGTGCCTAGCATGTGACAAACGATAGTGAATCCTGTTTTTATTGTAAAAGTATGTAAAAGTGTAGCAACTTCTGCTAAGTATGTATGTTGCATACTTTTGCTTGATTAGTGTACTCTCCAGGAATTTACCTAATACTTGGACTATCTTTACTCATGCAACTTGATTGTGGAAGGTTGAACAATTACCTGGCTAAATCTTGCACCCTGGGGATAAAGTCAGGGAGTCGTCTTTTAGTTAAGAAAAAGCACACACCTGGTTCCCATCCTTGAGGAATTTGCCATCTAAAGACCTTGGAGTTTAACTCAAGGGGTTTTTAATTGTTCAGAGAGGTCGCAGAGGGCATTGGGGGAGACTCACCGAAGCTGGGATGGAGTTTAGTGAAAGTAATCTGGTGAGAGAGTTCCTGGAAACGCTACTGTCTCAGGGAAGACAAATGCTAACGCAGGAAGGATATGAATTATTTGTTCTATAAAAGTTAAGTGCACTCTTGAGATTTTGTTATTTGAATCTCAAGTTTGTTCATAAAAGGTAAACTACAGGAAGATTGCAAAAGGGGCAAGCTGGACCAATCTGGTTTCGTGCACTACCGTTCATGTTTACTCCTAGCAGGTGTTGCTCTTTGAATCCCAGGAGAAGACACAGAGAGGATGGGAGAACAGGGACTAGGAAGAGTCTGTCTAGTCCCAGCCGCTGACTAAAGAGAGCGGCCTGGGGTTAGGCTAGGACCAACTGTCTAACCTGTAATTCTAGGATAATTTAGGTTTGGCTGCTTTTGGGGGGCCTCAGTTCCAGCTTTTCCTTCCAACTGCCCCCCAAAAATGTCGGTAGTAATAAAAAGTGATCAAATATCCTTGTCTAAAGGATAAAAATCTGCACTCGCGATGGGGACATAACCATCGAGGTTTTGGTGGAGTTATCCGAAAAAGCAAGTTTTCCTAGTTGGGTAAAAACTGCTACAATCATTTCAACGTCCTCTGTGGCAAACAGAAATTTCTCTAAGATAGGCCGGTTTCTGTCTCCTGGTCCAGGATTCTCCAGCTGCGCGGCCAAGTAACACCCCGATCGGTTCTGGATCCCCTTCGGGAAGAGGAGTCCCTCCTCGGGGGCGATGGAAACGCCCTGGGCGAGTTTTCTGGCACCAGCGGGAGTTTCAAGTTCCCACTAGCGGGGAGGGGGGGCGGCGGGCGCCCTCACAGCCCGCGTCCCTCCAGCCCAGTCCCGCCAGGAAGGGCTTTCCGCCGGGCTCCCTGTCGGAGGCCCACCCTCACGCGTCCCCACCCCGCTCCGCGACCCCCGGCGACGCGGCGTGCGGCGGTCCCGAGCGAGCGCGGGGGGCGGGGCGCGGGCGGCCCTCACGGCGGCGGCGGCGGCGGCGGCGGGGTTGGCGCTCAGGCCGCGGCGCGAGGCCGGCCGGCCGGCAGGGGGAGGCGGGGGGCGCGGGGCAGCCCCGCCTTTCCCCCCGAGGAGCCGCCGGGCGGCCATATTGCGGAGCTGTCTGCGGCGGTGGCCGCGCTTCTCGTCTCCGGCGGCCCAGCGCTTCCCACCGCCGCCTCTCCCTCCCTGCCGCCGCCGCGACGCCCGGCGCCGCCGCGCAGCGCCCCAGCCGCGCTCGGGGCGGGAAGGAGCCGCTCGCTCTCAGGGTAAGCCGCCGGCGCCCTCCCTTCCCCCACCCCTGTTCCCCAGGCGGCGCCGGAGACGCTGAGGTGGCGGCGAGAAGTTGCGGGGTCCGCGCTGCCCGGCGGCCGCGCCGCGAGGCCCTCGCGCGTCTCTCTGTTCGCGCCCCGCGGGCCGCGGCGCCGCCGCTCTAACGGCCCGGCGGGCCAGGCCGAACCTCGGGGCCGGCGAGAGCGGCGGGGCGCGGCCCGAAGCAGCCGCCGCGCGTTTCTGCTCCGCTCGGGCGCTCGAGCCGCCCTCGAGGTGGGCCCTGGACCCCCCCAGCCCCGCGGGAGCCGCGGCTTCCCGCCGCCTGGGCGCGGCCCCAGCGCGGCCTGGCCGGTCCCTTCAGGGGACTCTGAAAATCCAGCCAGCGCGGGTAGAATTACGTTTTGCAGTGTAGGGGAGGGGGGATTTATTAGAACTTCTTCCCCAACCAACCCCCCCCCCCCCGCCTCCAGTTTGAAAGTAAGGGTGTTGAATTACTAGAGAGCGTGCGTTCTCCCTAGTGGCAAGAGGGATGTTGCATTCCGGGGTTTGGGGCGCGGAGCGACACCCGCACCCGCGAGCGCAGGCCCGCCGCTCCCGGCCGGCCCGCTCGCTCTACCTGCTGCTGCTGCTGGGGCTGCGGCGGCCTCGGAGCCGCGGAACTTTGCCCGGCCCTGCGGGCAGCCCGACTTGATGTCTCAGACCCCACCACCCAAGTTTTGGACCTCACGCCCCCCC